TGTGATCCACCGGCTGGGTGCTGAGCTCTTTTATGTGTGTGTTTACACACACAGTATACTGGAAATGCGCTTTGCACAGCATGGCACCTCACAAATCAAAGGACTGCTGGCACGCGGGGCTGTGGGTCTGTGAAAGCAGCAGTTTTTGGTGAAGAAACTCTTTCTTTTACCTTAAGTTTGTGAGATTCACTGCTCTGTGTGATAAGCTGTCCACAGACCTTCATACACCTCTTAATGTTTTTATTCTATGTTTCTCTTCAGTTCTCTGTCTTTCAGTTTCGCTCTCACCGCAGAACTTTCTGACTCTCCGTCACAGAAGTTCAGGTTGCCTAGCAACAGGGTCGAGCACATCGCAGCGGGTTGCCACAATGACAGTCGCTAGGCGGGAGCCTGGCAACAAAGACATCAGGTGTTACTTCCCACTGCTTGTCTACGGACACTTCCAACGACCTCCGACAACTGCAGTGTGTGTGTGTGTGTGTTCACCTCTGCTCCAGTTAGCAGCAGAGCCTCCACTGAGGCTGCTCATGTCCCTTCTCATCTGTAATTATGTTGAAGTTTGTGTGTGTAATGTGTGTGTGTTTGTTGATTTCTGCTTGAGTGATCAGCCACTCAGTGCAGCTCACAGCGGAAGCTTTGCTCACGCTAGCTTGTCAGCCACAAAGGAAGACACACTTCTGGGTGGCTGGTCTGGTCAAGCTCGGAAATGATACACACACACACACACACACACACACACACACACACACACACACACACACACACACACACACACACACACACACACACACACACACACACACACACACACACACACACACACACACACACACACACACACACACACACACACACACACACACACACACACACACACACACACACACACACACACACACACACACACACACACACACACACCACAATCTTAATAAATTGCAGCATTTAGCTGAGATGAACCTTGTAAGAGAGACAAAAGGCAGAGAGGACAATGATCTGAAGTTAGGTTTGTTTTCTCTGTACTTTAACTATTGATTCTCCTCTTATCTTAATTTGTTTTAATTCCCCCTTGCTCTCCCCTCCCTGTATGAAGGTCTGTATGTTGATGTTGGCTGCATGCATGTGTGTGTGTGTGTGTGTGTGTGTGTGTGTGTGTGTGTGTGTGTGTGTCGTGTTGCTGGCAGCAGCAACAAAGTGAGAAAACCAACTGCAGCACACTTTACCAGTCATAACACTGCAAACATGCTCATGAACAACAAAGACGTCATGTTTCCTCACCTAAAAACAAGCTGTTTAAGGACCTGTCACTGGCAGACATGAAAGTGTGTGATTTGCTGCAGAAAAAATATGTTGTGTGAGCTTTTACCAGGAACACATCCGAGAGTGACTGGTCCAGTGTAGGAATTTGGAGTCAAGAGGTCCCATGATATGGGAGCTATTGAAAACATTTATAGACTTTTTCAAAAACTGCAGAATTGTAATCGACAAAGCTGCATTGACTTGGATTCCCCTGGAAGCTGTCATTTATTTCAAATGATCACATGACACACACTATATCTGTTAAATCTCAGCATGCTGGCACCTCGCTGTGAGCATGTTCTACTCTTCCTTAAGAGAAAAGTATCTGTCTAGAATAGATGCTTGGTACTTTTTTGCATTTAAGAAATAGTTTGGCCTTGATGTTGATTACGAGGTGGAAGCTGGACTCTTTCATCCTCCTTCCCCCTACCCCCTTCATGCGGAGCAAGGGAACATGAGGAGCACGTTCAGCATCCAAGACTGACCCCCACATAAAAACTATAAATGTAACAACCACCGTAGATTTGCATAGTATGAACCTACTCTGGACTTGCACTTAAAGACATTATTATGTTTTAATAATCACTTATAAAATGAAACAGCCAATTCTATTGTTGATATTATATTTCATACTGTTATTTACATTCTTTATTCTTATTTATCCTTTTGAGATTTTGTACCTGTCCTATCCTGTGTTTCAACTTGAATCCTGTTTCTGCTTTAACACCTGCATTTCCTTTCAGGGATCAATAAAGGTTTATCTTATGTCTCCTCACCTTAAATTGATAAGAGTTGCAAACCTAGGAGTCTGACGTTTCTTATTAATCCCTTTCCCCCCTAAATGAATACACCCAACCGTAACCATTTCCAGAAAGCAATACCAACATCTAATTTGGTTGATTTAGTGACTCAGCAGGTGCTTTACCAAAAGGGGCACTGAAACAGTTAATTCAGGAAGTGAGCAGGTCATGACATCAATTCCTCCACTGCCAGTACAGGAAGCAGGAATGCAGCTGTCCAGTTTCCGCTCTGGTTCAGATCACGTTTGACTTTTCCTCCAAAAATGTCATTTTGACAGACACAACACCCAAAGGAGCCAAATACAAATAACTTTGACTGGATAGGTAGAATTTTGTAGAAGGTATCTTGTATAAAAAGTGCTATAAAAAGACACAGTAGAGTTTGTCTCAGACATGAGAATACGAAATGTTTTAGTATAGGTCATCATTAAAGAATGCCTTAAAAAAGTCCTAGTATAGTATGTCGAAAAAAGACACAAGAATTATCATAAAATGTCATAAAAAGTAATAGTATAACAACAAATGTGTTTACAAAACATATTCAAGTCATCAAAACATCAAAGTATTTTACTGTATGCCATAATTAAATCAGATAATGCCAGAAACTGGCATTATGTATTTTCCAAATCATGAAAAATGTGTGGTATTTTATGGAATACATGGCAAAATATAAAGATATGTAGATGTATATTACACATAGATTTAAATTAGATGTAGCCAAAAAAAATAGGGACACCAATACGAACTCTTATTGAATAAATATAGTCCAGAGATCCACATAAGAATCGGTAGAACTAAAATGTCTGCTTCCAAATATAGATGAGATGCAATCTGTTTTTTGGGCAGCAGAATAAACTCCAGTGCAGTAGCTGCTTCTGAGATGGAAGGTCAAGAGAGCGAGCTAAAACCACTTGGTAGCCCACAGATATTGATTTCTCCCACAGCAAACGTACAGCAGGAAAACATCTGGGGATGTTTCTGTGTGTTTTAAATCTACTTTGTTTTACACAATATCTGACCTCTGTCCCCCTCGGACCAAACCATACATTCTGCAGCACTCTCCTCTAGTTTCTTTGTGTGCTGATCAAACACAGCAAGACTCTCCAGACGGAGGGCACAAACACAAAAGTCTAAAAAAACACTGTGAGCCATCAGACAACAGAAGATGCTTGAACACAGGATGTACTGGCACTTGAAGAAGGTTGGTTCGTCATCATGGCAAGCCGATATGCAGCCGGCTTTTGTCTGGCTAAAACAATGGATGCTTCTGAATCAGTGTGGAAACGCGCGCACACACACGTAGGCAGGTAGTACTGATGTTTTCAACATACTATACAGTACCATGTTTTTTTCCGACATACTATACCATCTTGTTTTTCCTCATATTTTCGACAGCCTACTCACTTTGTATAACTTTTGTATAATATGCTGTTTTTATTTCTTCTGATATTTCTCTGATATTTTTGACTATACTTTGTCATTGTTTCTCGTATTTTCCACATTATAAACTAAGTATTTTTATTTTACATTTTTCAACATGTATCGGTGCGTTTCCTTATATTTTCGACATACTATACATCTGATATTTTTTACATAATTTACCATGCAATTTTTTTCTGATATTTTCGTCAAACTAAACTATGCTATTTGTTCTCATTTTATCAACATACTATACTATATCGATTGTTCTCATATTTTCGACATACTATACTATGTTGTAGTGTATGTCTTTTCCCAAAAAATCGACATAAATGAAAACATTCTACATCAATCCATATAGACTTGATCACTCAGACTCCTTTTTTGACTATTAATTTCCCCCTTATTGTGTCTCTTTTCTCTCAGACAAATAACATCATGCTGTTGTAATGTGATCTGATTTTATGCTGGCACCACGGCTACTGTCTCTCACCAGTTTGGGCTCCAGCAGCTCAGCCAGCGAGACTTTCCTCCTCAGGGCTAACGTTCAACTGTCTGTCCCCACTGCACAGAGCCAAATGAACCGTGATGCTAATTGTCAGTCGGGGCTGGCTGTCTTTCTTCCACTATTTGCCTTTATTCCTCAATAGGCTTCTCCCACACTGTCCCAAGATCCAGCCATTTCTGTATATATCTATATGTTCTCTCACTTCATCTCCTCCTACATTTATTCCACTATCCCTCCCTCTCTTCTTCCACTACAGCTGCTGAATCTTTCTTTACGCTCTTTTTGCTGCATGGGTTGCTCTTATACTGTATATACTTTAGTGACAATGGGGAATATCTTCCCTATTGTCCCTGTTTGTAGTGTGGTTAAAATAAGCTTATAATGATAGCCGAAACGAAACCATCATCATTAATCCATCTCTGTCAAGGGCACAACTAAGCAAAAGAAAACAAAGCTTCTCAGTGTTGATGGAGAATATTTAAAGTGTGGTTCATACTGTCAAATGGATTTAAATACTCTGACGCTTGGGATTATGTTGATTGATGTGGGCGAGTGATGAAGGACTTCCTATAGGTTCTAGAGACGGGGTCCTCAGTGGGATGGCAACCCCGGCACAGAGATCTTCCGTTGGGACGCCCCGCAGTCGGGGAGCCCCAGGCATGTGTCAGGCCAACCAAAGGCAAATCACCGGCCAAGGACGTGCTGCTGTTCAAATTCTGAAGTGTGCTCTGTTTAATGTGTGACCATGTAAAGGCGAGGACATGTAAATGAGCAGTTCCAGTGTGCACATGTATGAATTGTTAGTTTAATGGCCTACTGGGGTGCTAGCATTAGTTACGCAGTCAATCTGTTAATGGCAGAGGAAGCAGCGTGTGCACCATTGTTTCCTTTGCGATGTCTGAATATCTTTATGATGCCACGCCGACGGCCATGTGATGGTGCTGAAAGTGAGCAGACAGAAAAACACACCACAGTTTGATTCTTCACATCATTTTTTTCCTGTTAGTTTATTTTTTTCAGTTGCTTAGAAAAACAAACAAGAGTTCACAAGATGACCCACTATTGCCAATCTACAGCTTTTCAATATTCAGAGAATATGCAAATGAAGGGGTGTCTCATTCAATCGTCGAGTAAGTCATGTGACCCGAGCAGAGGGGTCTAAGGGCACGCGGGGTGGGACTCCAGAGCCACAGACGAGGGGGGCGATCCCCACCCGCCCCCATCTGCTGTGAGAGCCAGTCGCTCTTTGCATAATGAAAACTCACCGTGGGTCTTTTTTTCATTTGCTAAAACACGGTAATACCACACTTACACAGCAAGCTAGGTATCACAACGGTTTCATGTCTTGAAAAAACCCACCAGATGGGAAATATATATAAATGAGCTAAATATAATTTAAATAGAAACCTAGAAACAAAACAAAGACAATAAAACAAATAACTCCTTAAGCAGACACACACTTACAGACGATTAGGCTGCACCTCAGAAAAACATTTGTGAGCATTATTCACCTTTCATCTAACTCATCTTCTGGGTTGTGTTTCTACCACACAGGATCTTAATTCTTGATGCAAGACAGAGACAATTATATAAAAAACACTTAAAACTGCCCACAGAGATTCAATGGGAAACTAAGTATGGATGTGTGTGTGTGTGTGTGTGTGTGTGAGTGTGTGTGTGTGTGACGACTCCCAAAACAAAGAGCTATTTCCTGAAACAAATGCATGGAAATGCCAAACTCTAGCCACACAACCACAGTCTTCCTGTGTGTAACATCTCGGTTGCACTGTCCTCCTCGATCCCAATGGTTTTAAATACTTGTAAATATACTGTAAGCAGATTATATATAAAGCCCATTTACAAATGGTACATGATTGGCTTGGTACGTCGATATCATAATTTCCACAGTAGCTGGAATAAGGGTCACATAAGACTAGCTAATGAGGTCATACAACAACATTTCTTCTTTTCCTCAGTGTCATCTTCAAATACACGTTAAGTCATTTTCCTGGAAATCAAAGCAAATACAGTCAATGTTAAACACTTGCAAAATGTCCACTGCAAAGAATGGCTTGAGTAGGAGAATCTTTTTTGAAAGAAGCATTTCACTTCTCTTTGTGCCATGCTCTTTTTAGTGTAATTTGGACATCCTTTTTTGTTCTCTTCAACTGATTTTTTCTTCAGCAACATAACGGTTTATATAAGTCCAACATTTGTTCCCCTCTGCTGAACACGAGAGCTCCTATAAAGATGGATAAACGACAAGGCCACCAGTCCATTAAAACATACTACAATCCCTCACTATGCTGAACCCAGTCGTCTCTACTGAGATCTCAATATGAATCTGATCCCAATTCAAACTTTTGCCTCTTTTTGAATGAAAAAGTAAAACAGTGCAAACAAATCAAATCTGTGCAATAAGGCCTACCGCTACCATCTCATACATTTCATCGTAAAAACAAGACTTTACAAAAACACTAAATGATTAAAAAAATAATATAACAACAATATCAAAGATGTGGTGAACAAAGCATGTACATGCACAGCTACACAGAGTGGAAGAGGCCATTCTCTGTAGGACCAAACAAAAGAAATATCAGACAGCAGTGTTTTTGTTTTAATGCTTTTCTAATGCTCGCCCCCCTGGGGCTGGGGGGGGGGGGGGGGCAGGGTGCCAGAGGGGTGTGTCGTCTCACATGGGCTCAAGCAGCCATCTGCCACCCAGCTCCAGCCAGCCTGATCCTTATCCTCCGCCCAGCCAGGCCCAGCAGGCCCGCTGTCTCACCCCCACAGAAAGGCTTCCTGCTGGGGGGTGTGGGGCTGGGGGAGACAAAGGGGGGGAGGAGCTGTGGGAGCTCCACAGTGAGGCCCTTTGACCCGGTCCCAGACAGACAGCACCGTGTCTGCTCCCTGCCGCCTCCTCCTCCTCTCTCTCTCTTTTATCAGCCACACAGACCCCAGGGGCTGAGGGAGAGACAGAGGAGGGGGGGAGAATGAGACAGAGAAGGGGGAGGGCGGTGGGCAAATGAGCACAATGAAGAGACTGACACGGACTACCCTGACCCCCCTCTCCTCCATTCATCTTTGGGTACGAATCTCTCTATTCCCTACGGGCACGCTGCTGCTGCTGCCCTCTCCTCCTCTCCCCTGTGTGACCCCTCTGTTGTCTCCCCCCCCCCCTCGATATCCCTCAGTGGCCCCTACTGGCCACATATACGCTGCTGTTGTGTGTCAAATACGCTTTTCATTGTTTGAACGCCACGCCATGTAGTGTTGCCTTGATGGATCAGGGGTCCTGTTTAGTGATTGTTTTCTTTTTCGCGGTAGTGGTCACCCATCTTGGAGAAATTAGTGAAATGTATAAAAAAACGTAAAGCATGTATTTATTTAGAGTGTTAAATTCCTATGTTTTGGTAAAAGTGGAAGAGCACATTGATGCTCAAATGGAAAATGTTTCCGGGGGCAACAGAGGGGGGGTTCTCCTCTCTGGCACCTAGGCAGTGGAGGTGGTGAGCTTCTGGATGGTGCGGTTGTAGTATTGGGTGGTGAGGGCCTCCAGGGGGTTCCAGTGGTGCGCGTGCAGCTCGATGACCTCCATGAGGAGAGAGCGGGTCAGCGGCGACTCGCCCGGGCTCAGCATCTTGTCCCTGACGGCGGCCAGGAGCTCCGTCATCATCTCAGGGAGCTGCTCCTCCAGGAGGCGCCCCATACTCTGGAGCTGGTGGAGAGACGAGGAGAGGGAGGGAGGAGGTCAGAGGAAGTGTGTGTGTCGCTTACAGAGAGCAAAACACAACGTCTGGCACCTTGTTACTGTAGATGCAGTCAGACAGGAGAGTTCACACACCCTGTGGCCATGGAGAGTGTGTGTGTGTGAGAGTGTGAGAGAGAGAGAGAGCCATCAAAACTGCGAGGAATGTGTTTGTGAGCATCTGGGAATTGTTAGCCACCTATCTTTGCGCTTTCTGTTGTTTCGCCTCTTTTTATTGTTTTCTTATCATTGCTGCTGAGAGATTTCAGTTCTTCTACCACGACCCAAGTCTGATTAAATCCATAGTTCTACTTACATTCACCCACACTACTTTATTATTCATAACCCTCGGGAGACGACCATGGAATATCAAAGATATGGGTTTGAGATTGTGCATACTGTGGACCTCTGCAGCATGTACTGCGCATTAAAGGAACATTCAAATGAAACATGGGTTTCATATAGGCTGGATCTTTTCTTTTTCACATACATTTGTTCAGATGTTTTACTGCATTTCATTTCTTGCCTGGCACTTAAATTCAAATCAGCCTTTTGCTTGAAACAAAAACACGAGTAGTACCTGTGTGTGTGTGTGGAACCATACCTCCATTGAACAGCACAGCACTGCATCTTCCTTCACATCAGTGGACTCCAATAGCTATAAGGGACAAGAGCAGATCATATTTGAATATACTGGAACACTGCGAAGCAAAGAGCCGCACAGCAACAAGGCAGATTTATAAAAATGTGTATATATTTGGATGTAGGCCACAGTAGGAGATTAAGCAAATGCAAGTGTGTGTTCATCAGTTCACAAGAGAAGGAAAAAAGAAGACCTAATCGTAAATATTTTTCTACATTAACATTTGAAATCTTGGAAGACAACACGCCAGGCTTTCATCCTGGCAAGCTAGCTAACCGTCAGACATCAAGGCTGGCTCTGTGCACACTGTATATCCGCGTGCACACAAACAGCGCAGCCAAAAACAAACTGTGAAGCTGGTAAACATGCTAGCTGGCTTTCCACCCCCTCCTCTGGCCCCATGCACAGATGGGCATATAACTGGCACTTTCAAACAATGCAGGGAGCGATGGCCACAAAGGGAGACAGACCCACAGAGAGCCTCCTATAGACATCGAGAACGGAAGCCGTGCACATCTAGTGCCAGATGACTGTATACAGAATACTCCTCGTTTTACTCCTACCAGTCGGTTTAACAAAGTGCTACTTTGATTATCCTGAAGGAGGGAAAGGAAGTAACAGGGAGGGAGGGAGGGGATGTTTTTTTGTTGCTGTTTTGATATCTAAATAAACCTTTAATGAGTAGAACTGCTGCGCAATGAGCAAAATAAAGTATAAATGCAGGCACAGTTATGGGGAAACTAGTGAAAGAGAACTTGTTTCGAAGCAGTCTGTCGTTACTAGGGTTGGGAACCGAAACTCGGTTCCAGATGAGAACCGATAAGAAAATGCCGGGTACCGGGTACCCATACAAAATACACAATTTCGGTTCTGCTTAACGGTTCCTAAACGCGGTAGACCCTGTATTCCAGCGGGTCCGTCTGCTCCGCGGTGACCCGGTGGAATACAGCCAGGGTAAGGGCGGACTGGCCATCCGTGTGTTCTGGAGAATCACAGAACGGCCGGTCGTCAGCGGGCCGTTGACGGCCGGCTCGATTCGCTGACGGCCGGCACCGCCCTTCATTTTTTTTAAACGGCATCATGTAAGTTGCGGCGACAGAGGTCCACAGTTGCCCCGCAGCGAGGCTCCCCCCGCCCTCCCGTAGACAGTTCACGAGCTCAGTCACTTCATAACACCAAAGATGGGTCGCGGTAAACGCTCTGAAGTGAGGCTCCACTACACTAAAAAAGAAAAAGAAAAGGCAAAGTGTAATGCCTGTGAATAGCTGGCCACAGGCATAGCTCAGTTCAAATAAAGCACAGCTATTGTGCAATACATTTGTATTGCATGTATATTTTTTATTTGTAAAAATGTCAGTTAAAGCTTAAAATAATAAAGATATTTTTGTTATCTAAACGTTTGACCTCTTTCTTTTACAATTTTGGAATCGAAACAGGGAATCGATAAGAACCGGAATCGATAAGCAGAACCGGAATCGATACATTTCAAACGATACCCATCCCTAGTCATTACAAGGTGATTTTAAGTGGCTCTAATCAATATTTTTCATAATTATGTATAACAATCACAATGTAACAATGACTATGCATTAGGGCTGCTCGATTATGGCAAAAATCATAACCTCGATTATTTGGGTCAATAATTGATATCACGATTATTAAAAACGATTATCCATTTACTTTGAAAACATCAATTTATTGGAGAATTTTTTTTTTAACAGTATGTTTTTTAACAGTTGATTACCCTGAACTTTAAGTATAATTCAACTGAAAATCCAATAAAAAAAACAACTTGTTACGACAACTTGTAATCGTTGCAAGCCATAATCGTAATTGCGATTAAAATACGATTAATTGAGAAGCCCTACTATGCATGCACAAAATGTTCTTTAAATGTACTTATATGAAACTAAACTACAAGCTTGATTGATACAGACAAATAACCCATCCAATAGTTTCTGATTTGACCATTTGTACTTCATACTACTTAACTTTGATGATATGCATGCTTTGAGAGCAAAACAGATATGAAAACAAAGACATGGAAATTGTTTCTGATTCTTTGTAACTAAAAAAAGAAACAAGGATAGCCCATCTGATACTTCAATCCAAACTTAATGCGAGCTGGCTTTTATTTCCCCGCTGTAAGCTTAATGGTATTCCACCTATAATTCAGGCCCGGCAGTTGCATGGCGTGGTGACAGTATGGCTGTTTGATGTGGGAACTACAGTCTCGTCTTTCCCAGAGCAGGAGAGCCGTGTGACACGCAGGATAGGCTCATAATGAGTTCTCCAGGGAGCCCAGTGGGACGTTGTTACTCAACACGTTTAAAATGGACTAATCTATACTCATCTATAATCGGTTCTCCTAGCCATTGAGGTAGCTCTCTTTTCCCTCTTCTCTTTTTTTAAAAGTAGAAGAGGAACAGCTGCAGGAAAACAACTTCTCTGAGAGACTACTTAAAGCACAAAGTCTCTGTGCTGAAGCTGAAGCAGACAGATCTCTGGTTAGTTACATCACAGAGAAACAAAAACTCTGCAAGGGGAAGCGCTGGGAGTCTGTGTTCCATTTACAGTATTTTCATTCAAAACATATTTTATCTGGAAGATGAAAAGCTAGAAGAACTAGTACAGCCGTGATCATCTTGTAGCGCAGAATGGAAAATATAAATCCAACAACAACTTGAATGACTCAGTGAAGTCAGCTAGAACAACATTCATATTTATTTAAATATTCAGCGAAAGCTTCATTGTGCTTGAATTCACTCATGTATATTTTGAAATATGCTGGCTAAAAGAAAAGTAAATGATGGACGAGTGCTTAGACAAAAACATGTTTCATCAGAGTACTAATGACATGCAGAGCGCTCAAAGTTAGAATTATGACTACTTTAACTGCTTCCAATAGTTGCATAGCAACAGAAGCATCAGAAGGAGAAACTTCCCTTAGTAACATTACACATCACCCTAGTTATGTACTTCACTAACTGCTCGACAAAAAAACCACTACAAACTAAAACACTTACAATAACATGATGCTCAGTATTTACAGTTTATTTGAAGAATGATTGAAACATTTTAAGTTAATAGTCGAAAACCGTGAGGGCCCATGCTGACTTTAAGGAAGGATACCAAGAAACAATATAAATAGCCCTGTGGTCACCAGCAGACAGCAGCATGCTTTCTGCAGTGTGCACCTGCAAACCACTGTGCCACATGCTTCAGGAAAATCGTTTTTTATGTTAATGTGAGCGCCCTGCTACCTGCCTTCTGATGTGCCATGACTATTCGGCTGTTCAGGTCTGTTCCCCCTTAATAAAGGAATGTTGGATTACTCCTTTAGTAATTTTTATCATAAAAAGAAGCTGTAATCATTCATCTTGCCTTCCTACATACTTTACCACAATGGTCTGGGTAAATATCTATGCCAGTGTAGGTGTATCTAAACTCTATAATTGACATGTTTGCTTTGACACTTAGTAAAGGATTACCTTACTTAGTGCATCTATGTGGATTGTGCACATATAAAAAAACACTTTTGGCCTGTGAGTGTTGAATGGCTCAGATCACCGCTCACTGACCTGCCCCATCTATATGAACAGCTGTCATGTACACTTTAAACACTTTCTTACACACCTTAGCTGTTACCTAATCCTGTTCTGCAGGCTATAACTACACAGGACAGCTGCTGCAAAATGCACCGCCACACACACATACACACACATGAGTACTCTCATATGCACACATTATGGCACATAGCTTGTAACAGAATCTGACCTCTACATGTTACGACAGGAGAGACAAAAAAAACAGACGGCTAAAAATGGGTAACAATAGCTCATGGGCATGGAGATGTTATTAGAAATAATTTTGCCACATAGGTGTGACACCGCTGACGCTGGAATACGGAGGTGTGTTACACTGTACGTCCACACCCTCGGTCATGTTGTGGAGAGTCCTCTAACAAGCTGAGATAATGATTATTCTGGGCATACGCTCAGACAGGGTGTGGATGGCATTGGTTGTGTGTTGATTGTTTGTTAGCGAGACGCTGGGTGTGTGTTGCGTGCCAGACGGGCAGAGGTGTGGACGTGGGCGGTGAAACTACCTTGCACGTGTCTGAAAACCTGCCATTATCTCTTCTCTCTCTGAAAACTCCACATTAAAAATATTTTTCTCTCCCAGCCCCTGTCATGTCATCTCCCCTCTCCTTCTCCTCTCTCTGCTACCTGTCGTGCTGTCAGTGAACTTCCTCCGCAGTAACTGTCAACCTGACCACAGGCTTCTCAGCTTCCTCTTACCTCTTCTCTTTCTCCCTCCCCCCCATCCTCACTCGCTTCCCCTTTCAATATCCCATCTGCCTTTAACCACTTCTGTATCGCACCGCGTCTGCTGTGGCTCCCCATTTGGTTTCCATGGTCACCAAAGGAGTGTGTCTAAGTCAAGAGAACACGAGCAGCTGATGAGAAATGGACCTTGAGGCAAGCATTTTCTTGGAAGTGATGATGTCCTCTCTGTTTAAACCACTTACCAAACCCCACAGTGGTGTATCGAGTCTAGACAGGGTCTGGCCAAAAACAGGAAACTTGCTACATGTTCCGATCGCAACAGACAAGATAAACAGACACGGCTGGAAACGTTCCTCTTACTGGAACCAGCAGATGAGTTGATTAATTGGTAAATAAACATACTTGTAATAAATTACAGATCTGGATACAGACCTCTCGTAGGCAGGTGTAGATGGGACACACCAGCACTCTGAAAGGGTCCGCAGAGCTGCTCCTCATGGTGCCAAACACCTCACACAAGAAGGTGATGAAACCTAACCACCTCTCCACATCCGACTGCTGGAGCTCCTCTCGACGGGCAAAGTCCCTCTGAGGAGAAAGAAAAGACAGATGGATATAACATTTGAAAATACCCTGAAACTCTACAGGCTATGCAGCTTTTGTAGTAGCTGTAGAAGTAGGCCGCAGCAGGTAGGTGGATATTTAAGTGTCCCTTAAATTCATCAGCAGTGGTGATAATCACCATTAACATCTTTGTTATCTCCCTGATGGGGTTTTTTGTAGGTGGCACACATATTAACCTCGCAGCTTGAAGTACTTCAAGCCAAAAAGCGGTTGAAAAACACATTAAACAAATCCATGGATTTCATTTTCTGCCAGGAGTAGAGGAGAATATGTTAATTTGGTTTGAAAGTGAAGGGTAGTGAACTGTGTCAGTGCTGTAAAAGTGTTGGGGCTAATATGGGTTAATGCCTAATGCGCACTTTTAAAGATGTTATACGGCAGGTTAAACTGAAACTGTATTCACTCAGAGGAACTCACTCTGCTTTTCCAGAGTGTACTGCCCGTACTGAAGTGCACTAGAGAAACTGGCGGCTTGTACTCTCACATACTCGTACAACACCGCCGAAGGTCTGTTTGTACACAGACATACACAGAATATGCGTCCTTGAATGAACCAACAAAGGAAACGATGATGAGGAAGGTGACGGAAGCATCAGGGAACAAAAAAAGGCCAAATGCTCTCCTCAGCTTTACATAAATAGGATATTTCATAGGCAACAGACCATGTTTAATGAAAGCATCATCCCTGATGCCTTTTTTTCAAACACTTTTTATAGAGCCAGACTAATTGCCCCCATATTGAGATCCAGGGCTCTGGGAGCAACATCATTAATTATGGCCTTTATGAACCCACTTTTAAAATGTTTAAAAGCAAAAAGCCAAAATGTCAAAGACCAGGAGGGGGTCCAGGCTGCCTGGGAAGTGGGGATTAAAGTGAGAAATAAACAAAGAGGATCTGACCACAGAGCTGTGAAAAAGGGGGGGAAATAATAAAGCAGAGAAAGAGGGTAAAATAATTACGGTGGGATTTACTACTGCTGGGTCAGGGAAAACAATCACTACATCTAAAGAAATGGAAAAACTGAGGGAAGGAGAAAAAACAAGAGTGTGGGATAGCAGTCAAAAAGAGCATCTGCTGGAAATGAAACAGGAGTAGGAGTGAAAGAAGGGTAAAGGCAGCAGGTGGGTTAACATTTAGACCTCGGATGTTTTCTGAAAACAGCGTGTTCGTCTTGACTACTTTTACAGCGTCTACCACTCTGGCAGCTTTCGTCTGACTCGTGACAGAGGAAGGGGCGAAAAGGAGGAGAATGCTAAGAAAGAGAGAGTGGAAGTGTGCAGGGAGAAGTAGAGAGGCACTGGCCCGTGTGGTTCTGGGTGAGGGGAGGCGATAAGACGGGGGAGCGCGGTAATAGAGAGCTCATGAGGGACGAGGAGGGGGAGAGAGGCATGGAAATATATAACGGCTGAGAGGATGTTTTCATCATGGGTGCAAGACTGGAACTGTGCAGTTGAGTGGAAGGACGAAGGGCGGACGGTGAAGGGATGGGGGGGGGCTGTCTCTCTCCCCTGGGTGTTTAGATTAGAAACTTTGCCCACTGACATTTACAACATCACACACACAGTTGGCTTCCACCTGAAAGTGCTTCCTCATAAAACTAAGTGGGTATGAGGCTACTGAACAAGACTATGGCAGACTTACTGAAAAATGGATGGGAGTAGGTCTAAAAGACACAACAATCTGTATTTTGGGCTTTTAATTACTCACTCATGGACAAATACCATGGTACCGTTAAACTAATTTGTCCTAGCGTCTTTTTTATCGTACAGCTATCTTTGTCAAACTGCATCTTTGTGAAAGGTAACTAAGCTAGTTTAATAACTACTTCAAAGAAAATTGCATCGACTAAATCGAGCTAAATTAGTTATGGGTGATCATTGAAGAAAATCAAGTCAGGTCCATGAAATGAATGAGTAAGTTATTCTGAAATATCTAACAGAAAAGCTTGAGCAGCTAACCCATTCCCTCCCTCTCACCTGCAGCATGTTGAGCAGCAGAGATCTGAACTTGGTCCCCTCCACCATGAACAGCGCCATCTTGTCACAGAGCTTGGCGGCTGTGGCGGCGAAGCTCCTGTCCGACACAGCTTTGGAGTAGAGGGTGCTGACCACCTGAGCCAGGGTCTCCTCGCACCGCGCCGAATTCTGCGCCTCCTCCATGAAGGAGGCCAGCTGCTGCTCCACCCCGCTGCTGTTGCTCCTCATGCTGTTGAGGAGCTCCACCAGCCGGTCCATGCTCTGTGAGCCGGGGCCCGACGCCTCCACACCAGCCTCTTCCTGAGGGGGAGATGGAAAAGTCGTGAGTGGCAAGTTTCAATTTCAATTTACTGTTGGTTTGACCACAAGCTAGGAACATTTATTTAGTGATTTCATTATATGCCGACTTGAAATGAATATTTACAGTGGGTAGATAAGATGAGAAGTACTTTATTGATTCCAATTTGGGAAATGTTTCGCGTTGTACATTAGAGGAATTAAAAGACTAGAAAGAAACAATCCAAAATGTAAATATCTCATAGAATTTAAAATAGCATTAAAAAAGTAGAAAATATACATCTTGAAATACAAATTTAAAGTAACAAAATATAAAGCAGGATATTATATATACACTAAGTGTGTAAGGAATGTAATATTAAATATCAAATGGAATATATATGTAAAATGTACAGTGTGAGTTTAAGTCCAGTTATCCAAGGCTGATATTTGTGCTGATGAAAAGTACTTCAACATTAGTTACGATTAGCTTATTTAAACATTTGTTGTGTATACTTTAGTGTCTCTGGTGCACAGCTAACATGTTTTGATATATTGTGGAAGAGAACCCCCATTTTATAATTTTGTTTCTAGCCTAGTTTCTAGGTCTTTTGTTGCCTATCATTCCGACATTAGATTCATTGTATCACTGACACCACTGCTTGTTCATTCTTTCCTCTCCTCCCTGCTGTGTGGTGCCGCGCTGTCAAATCAAACCACCCCTGGTAGTAATGAGTGAGAGGAGGGAGACGGAGCTGAGGGCAGCAACACAGTTGGCTGACTCGCCAGTTTAGTTCACACATCAGAAACTGTTACGCTAATGCTGCTTTTGTTTCTTCACCTCCTTAGCGAGAACATGTTCACCCCTCCCTGACAGTCTGGGTGTGTCATCATGAATGCTTAATAACCAAGCAGACGAATGACTAAAGCAAGGCAGTGCAACAAAACTATGCGTCTACTGTACTGTCTATCCATAAATGACAGTGTATGCGTGTGTGTGGACATAATGAAAGTAATTATACAACTAAATGGTGGCGTGTGTGTGCACGGATACATTAGTCCTGATTGCCCTAAGACTGACTGACAGGGCCTAAGCAGCTTTTCCGTACCTTGTCCTTTAGTCTCCTCCTCAGCCTCTCCTTTGACGACTGCAGCAAGTCGATTTTGGGCCGCTCCGACTGGCCCTCGCTTGCCTTTCTACTTCCTGGTGGGTTGGGAGATTCCTTTTTAACTGTCGGTTGTGGGAAAGCATTTGTGTTTGGTGCGGACTCAGGTCTGGGGGATTCAGTGGGACTTCTGAAGTCTTGAGGTGCACTGATCTGCTCCTCACCTGGTTTTACATTCTCAGTCTGTTTGTCTTTGGTTGTTCTCGGGGGTACTCCTTTGTCCCCTGTAACGTTCGTCTGTCCGTATCCCTGAACTTTCTGATTGTGGTGCCAGCGCCTGTTCTGGCTGTATCCGTGGTGCGGGGGTCCTCCCTGGCGCTGCCCATGCCCCCCCTGGTACTGGCGCGGCGGCCGACCGGCACTACAGTTTCTGTTATCTCCCTGTTCCGGTATATTCTGCTGCTGTTGGTTTTGACATTGTTGTTGGGTTAGATCCCTCTGATGCTGTGGGGACTGTTGTTGTATCAGCTGAGGTTGGTTCTTCACTCCTCCGCCCCCTCCACCTCCTCCTACTCCTCCTCCTCCTTGAGGTCGCTGCTGTCTCCTGGATTGAGAGAAGGTATAAGAAAGCTTAATTGTGATGTAGAAGAAGCTTGAACGCCCGTCTATGTCACACTGGCCCCAAAATGGCCTACAGCCTCCACCCTTCCCCTCTGTTCTCCCAAAAACACATCTTTAGTTTGATAAAAAAATGCACTGTTTCTCCTGTTCTGGTCCCGGTGACTTGCCACACTCTTCTGTAAATACTATGACTGTTCACAACTAGACACAAACAGTAACCCATCATCTACTGATATAACATTTACTCAACTAAACATCCAAAAGCCCAATGCCTGCTTACATGTGGATGCACAGTATGTCTGTGTATTCCTGTCCTGCATAGCTCTGTCCTTTTGCTGTGCTGGCTCTGGGCTCCACGAGCTGCTGACATATGGTCCAGGGGATTAGTCGCCCTGGCACCGTGGAGGCAACCTATTATCTGCCTCAGCCAGTGAACCTTTGCTCCCTAACCCCCCTCAACTCTTTCAATGCTTTTTACATCAGGAAATTGTGCAGGTGGACGTGATTTGCAAAGGAAATAAATCTTGGCCCTTTTCAACAATAAAATAAAGAACTTCTAGTGATGGGATCAAACCGGCCACAATGCCAATCAGTACAGGCCAATGGCACCTTCCCCACCTCCCGAGTCTTTACTTTTGGTGCTCTTGCGGGTACCAAACACCTCCTAATTTTGAATCTTATGTGTTGGCAGACAATTTTTTTTTACCAAAACAATGAACAAGAACTCAAGAGTACTTTTCTTAGAAAAGGCCATAAGTGCATCTACTTGAGTGAGAATCAAAGAAAACGTAGATATTGGACTATTTAGTACAGCTTCTCAAGAGCAGAGAAAATGGTGAGAGTATTATGACATGCAACAAAGGTTCCAAGGCTGGAATCTAACCTGGGATGGTGCAGTTATATATTATGAGCTCTCACCACTCCAATAGCGAAACGCTCCAGGGACAAGGTTTCTTTAATAAAGACATTTAGAAAAAGAATCACAAAAGTAATATGTGACATCCATCAGGCTTTGTAAGTCTAGTGGAGGCTAGATTGACGTGCAAAGAAAGGCAACTTTCCAAAACTTTGAAATGCCAAGACTGCAATGGGGGTTTTCATCAAGCGTTTCCTTGCACTTAATCATTAAAGAAACTTTCAAAAGCGTGATTTTAGTTTCAGGCAATTATTACACCTTGTGAAAGAGAACTGTGTGTCACTATCCCACTCGTTTTGCAAAGAAATACCACTAAAAATGAATTAACATATGAACAACGTTTGAATGACTATGTTTTTGTTCTAAAAGAAGTTAAACAAATCTGTATGAACAACTTCTGGGAGAAAGAGACAAGGCAGAGATACTGGATTCTATCATGTCTGCTAAAGTTATATAACGGAACTTCTAAAATCTTGAAAAGAATATTCAAAAAGTGGTAAACATTATAGTCGCTGCGTTTAAGCCCTGATGAAAATGATTTAAGCGACCAGCAGCCTGTGTATGTGATGTGTGTAAAGTATTTAGGTACAATTCATACAGAACTTCTCATCCGTTGTCATCAACATACGGAATTATATTATTATTGGCATAATTGTAGTGCTCCAATGATTATTTGAAGAATACAAAAATGAATCAGCAGCCACTTATTCATAATAATGCTAGTAGTTTTGAAGCAATAAAAACTCGATGGTTCCAATTTCCACTTTTATTTGTCTTGTATTATCTGATGATCAACTCACCACTGTAATGCGCATTTTGTAAAGCTTAATTAGCAGATTTATCAAGAAAGACAACTGTATAAAAAAACAGATGAACTACTCCTTGCAACCGCGACTGCTACTTCTGTGTCAGCAGGAAATGTTGTTGGTTTGATGAATTCGACACTGAAGGGAAGGAACGTGAAGGTGTTTAAGTGTATTCATGGTTATTTTTTGTGTGTGTGGTTCATTCGCTTTATGTCCCGTCTGGCCCCTCTGCTCCACTCTCTCAGGGAGGTTGGCAGACAGTTCATCTTCTGCCTGTCTCCTCTACCCAACATCCTGCCTCAGACTTAATGCCACTCTTTCCGGCGCTATGCAAATATCATCAGTGCCTTTCGTAGACTAAAATAGAGCTCTTCTATCGTACACAATGATCAGGAAAAACACTTGTCACGCACATCAGCATCATTCAATGTCTGTTTTTTCTCTTTTTAACAGCAAACTTAAATAAAAAAAAACTACTTGGCATTATAACCCATGTTTTACTTAATCATAGAATAAAGTCTAACACCTTAACAATGATTGACAGAAATCTTGAGATCTCATTAAATAAGAGGTGAGATTATATAATCTTTTGCAAAGCTTTAGAGTTCTCCGAGACACCCTGAGTCTCACACATTCTCTCATCTGACGATCAATTTGATCTTTACACTAGCTGTTAGTTTAGGCTAATAAGCTCTTCTCCTGGTGATGCGTAGAGGTGATTGGGAGACATGTTTAATGACTGAGAGCTCTGCAGAGTGAGGAAGTGGTGAGCCGTCCGGGGAGGTGTTTGCTTTAAGGATAAATGATGAGGCCACTGAAATGTCATGTCAGAATTTCTTGTGACTTAGAGGCAGAACTTTTCATCAAATACAAAACTAAAACATTTTTTGTTTGAGGTGATGAATAGGTAACATTACGGTATAATCAGATTGAAATTAGTGTTTAGTGCCTCGCTATGCCCCCTATTTTACAATACTTCTAAGATTTCCTTTCCAGTTCAAGTATTAAATGTAAAAAAACCCGATACTGGTCCCACCAATTACCATCTGACCTTTTGATGCCGAGGCTTTGTCGAGTACAATAAATCAAATCACTGTTTCAAATGTCAGACATTTATTCAGGTCCCACTTGGTGCGCAGGATCTGGCTCATGTTGTCACTAACCTGGCTGAGACATGCCGCCTTCCCCCAGGGCCGTGAGGCAGGAGTATGGTTAACTGGTCTCTGGTGAACTGATCAAGCGCTCTACAAGCAGGAGAGGAGGTCAATGCAGGCGAGTGGAAGGATGACGAGTGGAGTAAGAGTAAAGTAGCAGAACAATTTGTGGAAAACGGCGGTGAAATTTGTAGAAGGAGTAAAGGGGAAGACAAGAGGTTAAAGAAGATAGAGGGGGGGGGGGGGGGGGGAGCAGCGAAGCAAAGAGAAAAAAAAAACTACAGGTTGATAACTATGTCAATCAAACAACATGCATAGAACTACAGGAAGTGGTGGCTAAAAAGATGAAATGATTTGGCAGATATGATCATGGGAGGAGGTAGGATACAGAGGATCGATCATTAATGTTGCTGCGGATGATTGTGGATGGAGGACTCGTGGAACCATTGGTTGACCCAGACGAGCAAATTGATCGGCCTGGGGGAAGAGGAGCCTGCAGGCCAGACAGTCAATAACTCGGCCAGAGTCCATGCGGGCCGCAGCTCACGGGTTTAATGGACTGTGGGGAGACAGCTTTCTGCTGCCTGACTGAACATTTGCATTACTTACTGTTTTTCACAGGTTTTAGGATTCAAAGTCTCAGGAACATACTGAACGTGTGCACACACACATGCAGGCAGGCAGGCATACATCGGAGAGAGGTCACAGTCAACAACTTTGAGTAATCGTGAGCAGAAGCTGAAAACAGGCGTTTCAAAGGAGGTGCAGAAAATACACGCAGACCTGCTGTGTGGTTTTACTCAAGTGCATGAATACGAGATCATTTGGAATTGTTACTTAATGGGGCGACTGTTAGTGCCTTTTCTTTCTTTGAGTTCACATTTACATCAAGACTACCAAAAATATGTCTAGATGTGAAAACACTGCCTCAATAACAAGCACATCTTCATCAGCAAAGATCTAAAAGGGAAGGAGAAGGAGCATTTTAGATTCTCCTTTGCTCCTTTTCTGTTTTGGAGCAGAGAGCGGTAAGCAGCACATTCCAGTAAATCACAACTAATTTCAGCCCTGCTTGACGCGCATACTAAAGTAGAAACACATGCACTACCTCCCCTTCTTTTCCTTCCTGCCGCAGCCAGCCTACACTTTTCCTTTACTCAATCTCACAGCCTCACTCCGTTTCTCTTTCTTGTGCTTTATACAATACAACCCTTAAGCTTTGCACGTAGACACATGATCAATATGTATCTCTATGTTTTTATTTTATTCCCATTTTGGACACACCACATACAACACTTATATAACATTATATGTGTGGTTCCTCATTACGATGACAATTCTTTGTCAGGGAACTTGAACTCAAATCAATATCAACATAAGAGGATTAGCATGTTTGATGGATAAACAGGCAGTTGATGTATTTAATGAGCAAATATGCTCAGCTTCATAAAGGTTGTTGTATCAGCTGAGGTTGGTGGAGGCCATATTCTGAGCAAACTGGAAATTCTATACAACAATAACCTGTTATAAGACTTTCAGAGCTCTTATGGTCTGGTGCAGGGTCGCCTTGCTCATTGTGTTGAGTCTTTCACATCCCATTTTTTTATTTATTTCGAGTCTTTGTAAATGTGTATAAAAACCTTCGAACTATGATAAAATTCTTGCTAGCTTTGCTAACATTCCACACAAGAAAAACCTTTTTTAAAGCCCAGAATGTCTTGTAAACTCTAGTAGGAGCTTTTTCTCCCTCTAGCTACAAGGAACCTCTAAGAAAGTGATTTATCCCGCAGGCAATCAGCGAGGCTTTATTACCTTAAAGGTGTTTTTCACTTATTGTGTATTTAGTTTATTACTTTTTGGACAATAAAGTTGTATAAAATCCTATTCTACAGACTTCTGTCATTCCCTGTCTCTCTTTCTAATTGTTGCGTTCTATAAAATCTCCCGCTGAGTTTGTAAAACAATCTCGTTGATGAATCACTTGGCCAGTTGCTGACATCTGCAACTCTTTTTTCGTCCTGCTTTCTCCATCTCTGCAGTGCAAATATATTTGGCCAACCTATAAAATACTTCTTTAGTTAAAGGAGGAATGGGTTTCACTCGGCTCAGAGGCAAATTCTAAGTTTGCAGGAAAATATTCTTAAGCTAATCAATAAAAAGTAATGAACTAATAACATTATTAGTGAAATGATACTGAATCTGCTTTGTGCTTGAAAGCTTTAGAACTGCTGCCTTCGAGCTTAACATTTCACATTACATTCAGAAAGCTTTAGTCACAGGTTTAACTTGTTGTGCCATTAGTTATAAACATTTTGCAGTATTTAAGAGTCTGTATCTTCCTGCTGTGTTTAAGCATGCAAGGCACTGTTTTGTTATGTTTTATATGCTTCACATTTTTCTCTTTTAATTGTTCTCAATGATACAAAAAGGACAGGAGTGTCTCTGGAGGGAAAGTGGTTGTTAAAAGCAACATCTCTGATCAATCTTGTAGCTGAGCTTGTGCAAGTCACCAACCCTTTGAAATATAAAGCTTCCACATGATGCATTTCCATCACCCTGTTGTTCTGCTTGGTGTTCCATCACAGTTTCAGTTCATAGAACATGATAAACACAGAGCAGCCACAGACTTTAAGGCCACATAAGCATACACAAACATATGCATTTAAAACAGGATGACCTCTTAATCTAAGCAAACTGTTGTTGTCCCACGTTTATATTATTCTTTTATTTTATTTGCCAGGCCTTCGCTGTGCCCATTGCACATAAAAAACAATAGCTCTGCACAGTTCCAATTACTCTCTGTACTTTAAAAACAACGATGAAAGTGCTTTTGTCCATTTGATATAGTTAAAATGTCCTCTTTTTTCAAACCACAAATACAACCCAAATATTTTCTCTTTCCCCGTCTCTTAGCAACTGAAGAACGGTTTTCCAGTGACATCAGGGCATGGAGCGAGAGAACGAGAGCGATGTTTTCTTTTTCTCTTCAGGACATGGTTTCATGAAGTCAGACTTTGGAGAAATAAGATTTCAGAGTGTGTACAATTAGAGCAGATGTGCCGGTATGACATTTTGTGGCAGATTTAGGAGTTTAGAAATGGGATCAAAGGTTAAATGTTGCAAACCATGGCAAGAAAATCCATAATCAGATAAAGAAAGAAAGCTAGAGTATTGAGTGCAAACAAGGGTGACTGAATAACTGGCTTAAATTTGAGTGAGTAACCTATTAAACATGAAAAACCTTGAATGTCTCCGCAGTTTTTTTTTTCTGTCTGCAGTGAAGTGTGGAGCCTGCATTCCTGTCTTGACATAGCTTTGGCTGCGGAGAGATGTTAAGGCTATAGGGCTGGCTGTGCACTGACATCAACAGAAAAAACATTCCCTCTCACTGAGGTAGGTTAGTGTGTGTGTGTATGTGTGCTTGCATGCGTCATTACCGTCGGTCATTCCTCCTGCGTCGGAACAGCTTTTTGGTTTGTGCGATCTCAGCCTCATTAGGAAGGGGAGGGAAGACCTGTTGAGGACAAACCCAAAAATAAGAGACAGCTCCTTTCAAGAACAGCATTTCAGATCACTTCTTGGAAAGTAGGTACAGAATCCTTAATCCTCGCTGTTCCATCAAAAGTACACAAAGGGCTAGATTTCTAATACATCAGACAAACTCTAGGCTTTTTCTTTAGAAAGCTGTTTTTCAACCTCTTAGGGCGACTGTGGCTGTGAGGGAGTGCGGTCGTCTTTCAACCAGAAGGTTGTGGGTTCGATCCCAGCCCATGCAGTCAACATGTCGGTGTATCCTTGGGCAAGATACTTAACCCTGAGTTGCTCGCGATGGCATGGCCAACGGTGTGTGAATGTTAGGTCCTAGAGTAAGGTACACTGCTCTGTATGAATCAAATCAAATCAGGTTTTATTTATATAGCACATTTTTAAAACGATTTTTGGTCGAGCCAAAGTGCTGTACATATAATATTTACCTTACAGTAAGAACACTATACAGTAAATACAACCGCACAATTTGTGCAGAATATCAGTATGAGAAAACGACACCCTCTGACCTTAGACCCTCACATCGTACAAGGAAAAACTTCCGGAGGAAAACCCACAGTTTAAAGGGAAAAATGGGAGAAACCTCAGGGAGAGCAACAGAGAGAATGGGTGTGAATGGGTGAATGACATGTAGTATGTAAAGTGCTTTGAGGGGTCTTAAAGACTGGATAAAGCGCTATATAAGTGCAGTCCATTTAATATCAATACACTCATTTGAATGTGTTTACTGCACAGAAAGTCAAGAGATTAGGTAAATGGTGCAATGCCACTTTCTTTTCAAGACTTCGAGGAATTAGTGAAATGGCTTTTTCTTCTGAATATTATATATATATTCATAATACTCCTGGCACAGGCTTGGGTTCGTAGGTGCAAGGACTATAACTTGCATATTTTAAAACAAAAAAAGTGAGAATATTTTCTCAGTTAACAACTGGTAGGTTATGCTATTAGATTACATATAGTTGATGTTGGCACGTGCCTGTAAAATATGATTTTATCATATATTTACGTTTCTTCACTGATGATAGTACCCCTTAGCTGATCGCCGTAGTGACGACACATCAAACTGCCATGCATCGTTTCATCAGCACCCAAACAAAGCAATCTCTGCACTTTGTCAGATGTATGGCACAGTTTTTATCTGTGTTTATTTAATTAAAAACACTGCAGCTGCTATAAACTAGTACCACTAAAGATACATGTACTGTGAAAAATAAATGGTGGTTCTAAAAACTTCCTGTGAAATCAAAGATATAAGCATCCATCATCAATTAAACATCTGCCCTGTCAATCAAACAGCATTCGGCTCCTTCACTCAACATCACTTTGTGCAGCTGTTACCATGGTTACAATTGGTCTAGCACCAGCGCTGTTATGTACAGTGTGCAGTTGGAGCATAGATGTGTGTGACTGTACAGTATCGAGTCAGAGCAGATAACGTGCGTTGCATAAGTAGCTGATGTTAGATGATGTTGATTAGCATTAATGGTTAATAGAGCTCAAGGATTCATGTGTGATATTTTGTGTGTTGCAAATAGTTGCAGGCTGATGCATACAAATTAATTCCCCATATTTCCCCAAACTCCGATGCGTTGTGCAAGAAGGTGACCACAGTCTGCAAAGAGGGAGGCTCTGTGCACTGTTTTTACTCTCGGAACAGTTCACTTCTTCCTTTTGGTTTTCTTGATAAAAGTATGACCAAAAATAAATAGTGTGATATCAGTGCATCTAGTCTCATGATCAGCATATCAAGTATCACCACATAGATGATATACTTGTCTGATCCTCTTTTCATTGGATCTATAAGCAGGTACAATGTGGAATATGCGTATCTTTTCATACCCCTACAGCATTCTACTTTTTGTTACATTTTTGGCTCGCGTTCGTGGTTTCCATTGGTAGAGATATGAGAGGTTGTGGTGGGTTTTGTACAATCGAGACAAGAAAGAGTCTGATTTATTTTCAGCGAGGCTTACATTTATATATAGGAAGGAAAGAAAGAAAGACAAAACAAGGGAAGAGAGTCATAGTAAAGGTTTGTTGCCTGGTCTGTATCTGACTTGTAATGACTTAAGGCGGTGTTTTACTAATCCACAAGGACATTATGTACATATACACTATAGCTGTAGAGCATCAGCTACCTTTTGCATTGCCAAGTAGGAATTCTACTTACATATTTTGTGTCTGTTTTGTTGTTGTTGCACAAACATACTGTACATCCAGCCTTTCAGAAACATACTGTAGATGTTCTAATGAGTTTAAAATGTAACACTGCTGCTCCAACCTACTTCTCTCTTAGAGAGGCTGCTGGGGGATCGTAAGATTCTGATTGAATCCAGATGTGAGAGTCAGAAAGTGTCTGTCTGTATGTGTGTGTGTGTGTGTGTGTGTGTGTGTGTGTGTGTGTGTGTGTGTGTGTGTGTGTGTGTGTGCTGGGGGCACTGTATTCCTGTGGCACAGTAACATCCACAAAAAGGCAGACAAACACACTCTTTAACCGTCGGTTGGTACAAAGCTTTTCTTTGACCAGAGACTTTACATATAAACCCAAAAGTATTAACATCCACAGAATGAATCTGCTTTTTTCCAGACTCTGACTCCTAGAGCGGTCTGACAGGGAGGAAAAGTAGGTGGAGGAAGAAAAAAAGAAAGAAATGGAGGAACTGTTGCATGTTTAGCTACTGTAGTTTTCCTCTAGGATATCATTAGCTGTAATTCTGCCTTCAAATGGTAACCAGATGACAGTAAGCGCACACACACACACAAAGGGTGAAATTATACACGCAATACACTTAACTTCAAGTATTTTACCATCACTATTTCTCAGATCTTTGGCAAAAAAAAAAAATGGCTCTTTGAATCGTCAATTTTAATTTAAGAAAAAATAAAAAGAAGCATATTTTGGACCAGTGCATTAGAGAGAAGCTCAGTTTGGAAAGCTTTCGACAGGAACGGAGAAGGAGGAAGCGAGAGACGAGAGATGTAGAGTTGTCTCTGTGGTTAAAAGGGAGAGCTTTGTGTGCGTGTGTGTGCGCCAGTGTGTGTGTGTGTGTGTGAATATGCTATCTGCAGGTAGCAGCCAGCACGGGGAAGATCAAAGAGAGGTGTGTGCTGTCCTGCCAGAAGAACCCTCACCTCGCAGCAGGCAGCGCAAGCCCTGTGGACGTGACAGGGGGGGGGGGGTGTGAGTGGGAGAGCAGATAGAAACGGACAAAGGGATTATTTCTGTGGTTTGGTTTATATACGCAAGATTATCAAGAGATCGGTAAAGGGCTATTCTAAATATTTTCTTAAACAAATAGAGTTTTGATGAGAGGGATCCAGGAGGTGGGGGCGGCGAGGCAGGAGCACGCTTCTTTACCGATAACAGTCTTATGTAGCATTTAGACTGAAAAGGAGCAGTTTGTTCTAATGATTTGCTACAGCTACTGAGATTATAAAGATGTTATGCAAGGGCGTTCAGCTTTATTAATAGAGCCACAATCGCCCATCAGACAGGATTTCATAAAGCCTAGAAAGTTGTCACAGTCACTATTGTTATCCTCCATCTCGACAATAACAAGGTAAACACTAGAATTACCCTGTTGTCGCTACAAAGTCTTCTAGCATCAATGAGTGTTCAAACGCATTTGATTGGCTATCCCCAAGCAGGATCCTGGAGGAGCCAGGAAGAAAGACCACAGAGGAGATACATGGGTAGATGAAAGCTGTAGGAAAGGGAAAGGATGGATGAGGATGTTTCTTTCATGGGGGAAAAAGTTTCGACAATGCGATTCATGTAAAGTTTGATGGAAATAACAGACTGAAAAGCAAGAAGAAAAATGAATGGAGCCATCAACATAGAGGGAGAAGCTTTGCATTTGTTCATCGAGGGATTTAGGACATTTACTATGACAGTTTAATATGTGGACAAGTTTCTATCCAGGTCATTATATCCTTGAGACGGTTGGGATAAAAGAGTGGGTGGTGTTAGTTTGATTCTTGGTGGTAGCGAATGGATTTGTTAGACTAAAACAACACATTTGTTTAAATAGCTTCAAATTAAAACGTCAACTGAGTCAACTAAAAATGCTCATCTCTACAGAAAAAGAAGAAGACAAGGTGTACTCTTGTAAAAAATACAATCCTGATTGCGGTGTGTTTTTTACGTGTGCATTGTTTTAAGTGCCTGGATGTCTGCCTTGAGAGGAAGTTGACACACCGTGTAGCATTGCAGGGAAAAGCACAGGTCACTGGGAGAGGCTACCTGGGATGCTAGCTGAGAGGATGTGTCCTTTTTACAACCACTCAACATCGCCACGTAGCTCCCAAGCAATAACAGCACATCTTCTTTGAAAGTATTGCATGATTTAACCTTTAAAAGACACATTTTACGACGTACTCCCAGTAGTATCTAAAAAGGTTTTTGATTTTTCCGAGGGTTTTGCCATAAGGGTCATTGACCTGGGTCAGAGAGCACTGTCGATCCATTCATAACAATGACGTGGCTTGAGTGTGAAAGGAGTATAAGTAACGAGGAAGGAAATGAGAGCGAACGGGGATGGAAATGTGAAGAATAGAAACGGAGAATAGCGATTATAGGACTTTCTCTGCAGCGGCATGGAAAGTGAAGTGCACGTCTTCCTGCGCTTTCTAGTGTGTAACAATTCTGGTATGATGGTCATTCAGTCCGTCCATTGTTTCCCTCGGCTTATTTATGTTACGAGGGCCCTTGGCCAAAAGCAATACATTTAAAACTGCCCCAGGGGTGGCATTACAGGACAGGTTGTTGAGAGCAGAGGAGAGAGAGAGAGAGAGAGCAAGTAAGAAAACAAGAGGGACTGTAAATACAAGATAGCAAGCATTTCAGATACAGAGAGGAGCTGAAGTAAATAGCTGAAATTATTTGGACATTTTGCCCATATTAAAAGCAAGGATGAATAATGTGTCGTTTTTGTGACTTGTTTTATTTGATGTGCCCATATGAAA